GGATAGTCAAAGAAATTGTAATCTTGTCAGTTACTGAATGTTTGTTCTTTCTTTTCAAAGAAATATCAATAATGAATATCACTAGAAATGTTTCTATGAGTGATTTAACGTACAATATTATTTACTTACAACCTATTACCCCTGTTGAGAGGAGTATAGCTCGCTCATCAGCACTTTCCATCCAACTTTATCTTGGGAAATCTTTTTCAATTCTTTCCAATTGCTATTCATCTTTCTCATATCTCCTTCCAATTCCTGGAATTCATCTCCCCCCCTGATCATAGAAATGACTAAGAAACAAGAAGAAAAATATAATCATGCGAGTTTGTGGGTGGATATGCTCGGTGGTGATGTGAAAATCAATAAAAAACATTCTCACACTATAAATCTAGTTGAGAATAACATCACCGGGTGTTTTTCACCCTCACGCGCTTGATAAGTCATCTTCTTTTGTGATGAAAATATAAACAGGAAAACAACAACAGTAAGTTATAATGTGATATTTTCACTTCATTTATTGATATGATTAGTATGCTGATATTAATTATGACGATCAAATCAATAATCGATTCATAGTGTGGTGTATACTACTGATGTCAGTAGATATAAGTAGTATGTATCATGATTTGAAAGTGAAATACCTGGCGGTAGAAGGTTAAGAAGATCAAAGAAAACAGAACGAGAACAAAGAATGATTAGTGTGGAAATGAAGGAACAATCAAGTCTGAGACGATTAATGAATTATTTACTGTATGGTTCTCAGATTTTAGTAATTCATTCTATCAATTTGTATTCACATAGGTTTGGTTGTCCACACTTGTGTTCACCTTCAATACAACAGCACCTATTTGATTAGGAGATGAATATTGTCAGTTATATTGTTGATACTAATGTGTTGTGTGCTACTGACATCGATAGATATAAGAAGTGTGTATCATCATTTGAAAGGCGAAGATTGAAGAGAAGAGAAGAGAAGAGAAGAGAACGCGAACAAAGAACGATTGATGTGGAGATAAAGGAACAATGAAGTTCGAGATAATTGATGGATATTTTATAAATGAAGTATTTACTGTATGGTTTACAGATTTTACTAAGATAATCTGTAATGTTGTATTCAAATATAGTCGATTTTCCGCAATGTGTTCTCCTTCACTACAATAACACAAGAGAATAGGTATAGTGTAATGGCTGTGCTTCGTTAACCAATCACCCTCGTAACCGTTACCATATAATCCTCAACGGTGTTTGAAATCAGAAGGTAAAGAGAAGCAGCGACTACAGTTTTATTAGCAGATAACTCAGATCACAAAGCAGTGAGGCAAATGAATGAGTCAGCGAACTGAGAGTGTAGAGTGTGTCGAGTGTAAATGTACATGTATGTATATATAGGGAAATGAATGGATCATCGAATCAATTAAGCATCTAATAATAAAGCTAGCACAATGAATATATGCGTAGACGGTAACCGATGTTCGAGCATACATATTTCATACAAGCACAACAATAATAAAGGTACAATAAGTTGTTATAGTACGGATGACTTTGTCCGCTAAATAAGTTAACAAAAGGGCTTAACTGAATTAAATGAGAACAAACTCACTTGCATGTGAGTTGCCATAATAAGAAATGCATTTTTGGATTAGAAAATAATGTAAAGGTCAAGAGTCACTTCGTCCTATTTGATACTTGTTAACTGGATGTGCCTGCATCCGAGAGTTAGTGTTCACTTCTGAACTCGAAACCAGTATCGTTCATTTCAACTAACGTCACCGCCTTATCCACTTAGTTACTGAGTGTCAGATTTTACTATGATATTCTGTAATTTGATGAAGAAATACATTTGGTTGTCCTCACTTGTGTTCTCGTTCACTGTAATAGTAGATCTGTTCATTTCATAAGATTGAACAATGTGTGACATAACGATATAAACATTTGTGTAATTCTTAAAACGAGGACTCATGTTCGACTCTCAGTGAATTCCTCTCTGCCTCATTAAATATCATCATCATACTTTTCTACTTGTTTGAATTCAAGCGGATTATGCGAATATCGATGATACATTTTGATGTGATGTGATGTGATGAATAGTGTGGAAATGTAACACGTAGGACCATCTCACAAAGGATTCCTGTCTATATTTTCATGGTAAAATTACTAGAAGATGAGATTGTTATATTTTTACATTCTCCTATCTCTAAGCTTTCGTTTAACTAATAAATCCCTGTTATGTCTTATTGTTCATTTGTATCACTTATGACTAAGTTGTGTACATTTTGTACTTCAGCGATTGTGTTGCTCTATGGCCAGATATCTTATGTATGTTATTGAATGAGCCTTGAATTATGACTGAATAGAGTACAATGGAGAAATTAGCTAGTTTATATTTACGTGCTTCGATTGTCCACTGGGTTAGTAAGAGCTTCAGGACCAATGAGCATTAAAGTCTTGGTTGTTGTTGTTGTTGTTGATTGGTCAGTGTGTCATTTGATGCCTAGAAGATCAACGACCCAATTGACAATATAAATGAGCTAGTCGATAATCAGAGTAGAGAGCGAGAGAGCAAGAGAGAGAGAGAGTTTATACAACTGCTCTTCGGTCATTACAGTCTGATTACGCGGGATTCAGTAAAATCTAGGCAAGCGGTTTGTTCCCAACATAACACTTTTCTACTGATATTAACATTTCAAGCAGTTAGACTTTACAGTGTACATTAATACAAAGTACGATGTGAGGAAAGATGAAATATAAGATATATGTATAAGTTTAATAATCATTTACTGAGGAACTTAGAGACGTTTTGAAGAATCTTGTCGTTGACGAAGTAAACCGTCGAAATAATTAATGTTTGGATTAATTTGGAACGAATAATCAGACTACTTCTACAACCAGAATAAATGAACACTTCTTCTACTCATAGAACTATCATTGTTTCTTGAAGTGTCTTGTTTCTCTTTGAATTTCCTTGAGAACACAGAAGACTTGTTATGTATTTTAAACTTTCTCCATGATAATCCCTTTAAAAAGTTAATAGTAGTAAACTAGGACCGGAGTTAGACAAGGTTGCTTACTCTCCCCCTTTCCTCATTCTTCTGGTGGTTAACTAGATTATAAAGCCCCCACATATGAGGGGAAGCACGGAATACAATGGACAGCTTGCACGCAACTCGAAGATTTGGACTTCACAGATGACCTAGCCCTTATATCCCATACACACCAAAAAGTGAAGATGAAGACAACCATTTTAACATCAGTAGGTCCCAACATACACAAGGGAAAAAGTAACATCCTCAAATACAACACAAAAAACACAAAACCAATCACAATTGATGGAGAAACTCTGAGAGAGGTGAAATCTTCCACATATCTGGACAGCATCATCGATCAACAAGAAGGATCCGATGCAGATGTGTTAAATGTATATTAATCATTAAACATCAACCTAGTTGTCATAAGGTTAATATCCTTGAATTGAATTTTCAGTTTTGTAATGGTTATGAGCTAATGAGAAGTTATTGACAAGAGTCGAGCATCACTTCAAACCTTTTTTTGCATGTTATCAAGTTGGAATTTGTTACTTAAATGTTACATTAAAGAACAAGCAAGTAAACTTTAGCATATGGTTAACTTGAATGGATTATTTAAAGCGAATATATACATATATTGAATCACACTGTTTTCAATTAGCTCCTGGACGAAATATGCCCTAAAATGCCTTGGTACATCCGAGGTTGTGGGGAGACAGCTCTCTCTCCCTCCAAGTGCTTTCACATGACCACGCGTATTCAGCAAACTTCATGGAATTCCTACTAACTGCATTCTCGCACTTCGTGTGTTGTTTACAAAATTATGAGGATGAAAAGCAAATATCCGCCGGGAGGTTGAAACGGGTTGGTAGGGACGGAATGTTCATTTACGGGGGTTAGAAAACCCTGATTCCAAACCAGTGAGCTTCAGGGTACTGAGGAAACAAATGCGGTACAAATCAGTCCTTCGTCATCGGCTAACAAGGGACCGTATCTCCTGATGTTGCTCCACTTCCTTGTAGATCAGAACTTTAGGTCGAAGGCCTCTAGTGTGTTCCCCTAAGAAAACCACTTGCTTCGGTTTGGGCACCAGGGTAGTATCTCGGCCCGGATACGAATCAAGTGACTTGTGTGACACATATGTATTCGATACTCCTTTGTACCAATATTTATGTGTTCAAATAATCATAGAATCATTGGTGAAAAGAAGCAAGCTATGCATTAGAACCATCGTTTTTTAATGTTTAACAAAATGGGAATATCTATCAGTTTCGATAATTTTTTTCCTCATTTATCCAGTGAATGAGTACTATATGAAGGAATATAATTTTCACTAGGGATTTCATTACATCAGATTGGAGATATGTAGAGATTTTAGTAATTTTAATGGTTGAATTCATGTGTCTTTCTAAGCTAGATCACCATTCAGAACCTAAGTGGAAACAGTTATCCAATGAATGAAGAGTTGCGTAAACCCATAGATCGAATGAAGTTAGACACTGATAACGTTGAATGCCGGCTCAGTAATCTAAAGGTTAAACGTTTGTGTATGAGACTGGGTCCGAATTCCACGTAGGGGGATCGTGGATGTGTATTGCTGTGGATTCCCATACTAGGACGAAACGGCGGTCTAGTGTTTCCAGGTTTTCAATGGTGACCTAGCTTAAATCGACTCATGAATTCAACTATTATGTTTTCATTTTAATCACTTAAGGTTATCTTAATATCTAATATCTATAAACATGCCATTAAAGCGCATCTCAAAGTGAATGTTAGGGCTTTCGTTGAAATCCTCAGTGGAAATTACACTTTTTTTATATGCAGAATTCATTCAATAATTCGATAGAAAAATGTTAGACATTGAACACATCATAAACATTGAAAGTCAGCTATGCTAAAAATTCATAGACACTCATCCTATCCCGAATGATTGATATCTATCGGTTGAACTAAATTCCACAGTCCATCAAACTAGACATGTATGACAATAATGAAGATGATAATGATGATGATGATTTGGATGCTACTGCTGCTGCTGATGATGATGATGGTGATGATGCTTTGGATGATGATGGTTTGGATGCTGCTGCTGATGATGATGATGCTTTGGATGATGATTTGGATGCTGCTGCTGCTGCTGATGATGATGATGCTTTGGATGATGATGATGATGCTTTGGATGATGATGAAGATAACGATGACGATGACGATAATCGATGCTGTATTTAATAAATTAATAACATGTATCATGCATGTTATTGACAGGATTCATTCCTTTTTGAAATGTACTCAGGACAAATAACAATGTGTATGAATCAATGTACAATTAGAATATTAACAAACTGATATCATGATTTGCTGAGACTATAATTTATGGACGAACCAACTAGATTTAAGATAACAGGTCTTGGATTTCGCTGCTAAATTCATCTGTCCATTTGGCTACACAGCATTTTAGCATTATAGCTAATATCAGTTCATAATGGAAATCATTAAATCTAATTCCTAACCCCTAACCACCAACTGTAAATCATAATCTTCATTGCTTCATACAGATTTATAATCTTTATTTAGCCCTAGTAAGTAGGTGAACATTCTCATGGTCACTTTAGAGTCATTCAAAGATCGTCCATAAATTAGAGTCTCATCTTCTATGACTAATACATGAATCTAAGTTAAATGTTCATTATATACATATAGGTATAGATGAATAATTGTGTTACCGACCTTTTGGACAAAACAAAAAGTAAACTGACTTATGGAAACAACATCATTATTTGTATTATTGTTGTTGTTATGGTTAGTGTGATTGTGGTTGTTGTGGTTGTTAAATATAAAATAAATGTCTTAATATGAGTTTAAGTTAAAGCCAAAGGTGGCCAGTTTTTATAAAATAGATGGTATAGAAGGAGAAAAAGTAAGTCAACCAAGCCCTACTCATGAAGTGTCGAATATGACTAATTAACTAACTAACCTGTAGACCACTGACCCGACATCCAACAGTGTTAATGTCTAACTTCAACAAATCCATAAAATTGCTCGGCTGTCCACCATTGTCTTCAGTGAGTAAATATCACACAACAGACCCGATTGAGTTCCACTAGTCAATGATTTTCACTAGAACTCTAGGAAATACCTCTTGAAGCCCGCCATTAGTGAGCATATGCTGAGATGAATAGTGGCTAGTAGTAGAGTCCAGGACGCGAGTTTCGTCCTATATGGGACTCGTCAGCCGGATGTACTTGCATCTCAGAGTTGATGCTCATTCTGGGTTTCGCACCCAACAGCGTTCGATAGCCACCATTCATCTTTGCTTATAATGCTTGTAAATTAAGGTAATATCGGGGTAATCCGTACTGTATGCACATACACCAATCAAATACAGTCCTAAATATCAATGGGAAGATTCAAGTAAAGCAATCCCAAATGAGCATATGCTGATTAGCATCAGCAAATTAATTGTTAAAGGAAAATATTAGAACATTAGAAGACATTCAACAACATCACAAACAGAACTGACGATAACTAGCAGTGAAATACAGGATGCGCGTTTCATCACATTTCGGACTCGTTAACTGCATGTAACAGATTAATCAATTTCAGTCCCGAACATCAATGGGAAGATTTAAATAACCAATGCAAAATGAGTTATTTTGCTAATTTGTTCATTGTAGTACTTGTAATCGTTTATGGGTAACAATCGAGTGGGTGATTAGTCCGATTTCTACCATCCAATTTACCGCTCATGTTAGTTCATGGAACAAATTCCAGTACCTAGGAGGCAAAACGAGGACGTATGAGTCGTGTTTCATCGTTAACAACATTATTATTGGATAGACAAACCAAACGGATTTGTTGGTTAACATATTAAAAGTGATTGATAGGTCCTGAGTTCGAATTTCCAGTCTATGATTATTCTTCGCCAAAGTTCCTGGAAGCCCAGAAAACATTAGGAAATGAATAATTTACTCAGTATTGAGCAGATGCCTCTTAGATATATCTAGAGAATTTCTGTTTACAGAGGATTCCTGAAGATCAGGGTTATATGCAACTCAAAATGGACTCTTGATTTCCTGAATATGTACCAAAATTGCGGTAGAGCTTTTAAATTTCTCACCTCACCTCATTTATTAGAGTTTACTTGTCAAAGTAGTATAGGATTATAGGACTTATTTACTTACTTATGCTTGTTACCCCTAGTGGAGCATAGGCTTCCGACCAGCAATCTCCAGCCCAATCTGTCCCGAGCCTTTCTTTTGAATCCTATTCAACTGTTGTTCATTCTTCTAATGTCTGTCTCCATTTCTCAGTGTAATGTGTTCTTTGGTCTTCCTCTCCTCTTTTGACCTTGAGGATTACAGATCAGAGCTTGACTTGTGACGTGGTTTCTGTGCTTTCCTCAGTGTGTATCATATCCACTTTCAGCGCTTCTTCCTATTTAAGATTATAGGAAGTGGCTAGTTAGTTAGTAGTAAGTGTTTCCGGTAGCAAACTTACCAACCTGGTGTCCAGTCTATCAGAATAGTGATATTTGACAATTTTTGGTATTTTACAATATGCACTGGTAACATTTGTCTCATACTAGGCCTAAGAACTGAATTGAAGTATAGAACATGATCCGTATAATGGTTTTTTTGTTAATCAGTAGTTCTTTTGAAGGATTACGAACTTTAAAAGACCTATCAAGCTAGACCATCATGGAGAAACTTGAAGCACATTATCATCGTTGAATGCCAGCCAGCTCAGTGTTCTAGCGGCTAAGCGTTCATACCTGAGACTTACAGTTACTGGGTTCGAATCTAACGTGGTGGGATGGTGGATGCACACTGCTGAAGAGTCCCACACTAGGACGAAACGGCCATTCACATGAATTCAATTATTGAAAACAAATTACTACAATCTTCACAAAACCCTTGTTTGATAGATTATTAATTTGTGATATGAAAATCATACAAAAAACTTGTCTTTCGCTTAGCAACTAATAATCATGCCAAAACCATTAAAGAAAGAATTTACTTATGTGAATAATAAGAACAATAATAGTATCAATCAATGAATTGTGCATGATTATTGATTTTGTGCAACGTGTATAAAAATGAATAAAACCATTCATTATGTTGTTCTTTTTCTTTGTATTTTGTCTTAACAAGAATGAAAGTTGACATGTTCAACAAATTCATCGATTGTTTCTCTAGTCTTAGATTATGTTCTTTATGTAAACATCGACTAATCTTTTATGTGTTGAAAGTATTGCCTGAAGGTAATTGTCTTAATTCATAAGGTAGCAGTGGAATCCAGTTTGACGAGCGTTTCGTCCTATTTGGAACTCGTCAGCTGGATGTAACTGTATGACATTTGAAACAAACTGCACCAAGTTAGAGTCTCAGAGTAGAAATCAACAAATTTGGGATGCAGGTATAATAAGCTGACGAGTACCGGATAGGACGAAGTACGCGTCAAACTGTATTCGATTGCTAGCCACTATCCATCTTTGCTTTGAATATCATTATTGAGGTTTCAAGGGAATATTAATTCACCTTATAAGGATTGCATTATATCCCATACTGTTATTATTATGTGTACATAATATGATTCCACTCGTTTTTCTATTTATTTTTTTGACATTTACGTTATTCCTGATTGATCTCAAACTTTACCTTCATTTTATCATTTTGTTATTATATGGGTGAATACAGAATATCAATGGTTAAGATCATGAGTCAGTTGAAGCTAGACCACAATGGAAAACCTGGAGGCAATGGTCAGTCGTTTCGTCCTAGTATGGGACTCTTCAGCGGTGAGCATCCACAACCTCGCCCCCTGAGAGATTCGAACCCATGACCTGCTGGTTTCGCGCACAAGCATTTAACCACTAGACCACTGAGCCGGCATACAACGGTGTTAATGTATAACTTCAACTAATCCACGAAATAGGGCGACACACCCATGCGCGAAACCAGTAGGTCCTGGGTTCGAATCTCTCAGGGGGCGAGGTTGTGGATGCTCACCGCTGAAGAGTCCCATACTAGGACGAAACGACTGACCATTGCCTCCAGGTTTTCCATTGTGGTCTAGCTTCAACTGACTCATGATCTTAACCATTGATATTCTGTATTCACCCATATATTAACAAAATGCTGGAGAAACTCCGGAATAGGTGGAAACATTCACATACCTGAGCAACATAATCAATGAACAAGGAGGATCTGATGCATACGTAAAGGAAATGATTGGAGAGGTAAAGACAGTATTTCAACAACTGAAAAACTTATCGAACTGAACAAAAACGCCAACCAGTATGAAAGTCAGAATGTTCAATACGAATGTCAACACAGTTCTACTGTATGCAGTTGGAACTTGAAGAATTACCGCAAGTATTATCAAAACGGTACAAGTATTTCTAAACATTTGTCTACGTAAGATGCTGAATGTCCGTTGACCGGATACCATCAGCAACAACCTACTGTGAGAGAGAACAAACTAGCTTCCAACTGAAGAAGAAATTAAGAAAAGACATTAAAAATGGATAGAACATACATTGAGTAAATCATCAAACTGCAACATGAGACAAGTACTTAACTGGATTCCTGAAGAGAAATAGAAAAGAGGAAGACTCAAGAACATACTTCTTCGGGAATCGGAAGTAGACATGAGAAGAGTGTATGGAAACTGGAAGCAACTTGAAAGGATATGCGAAAATCACAATGATTAAAAACGACTGGCTGTATCACATACTAAGTTGAAATCAACCATCCACACTAAATGATTCCACATGAGATTCCATACAGTAACTTCATGCTTAAATCAAAGTGTGTTGATTTCTATACCAATGAATTGAATTTCAGAAGCTCAACTTTTTATTCTTGTTATTAAATGATCATTACTTGAAATGAAGAATGGGAAGCTTTGGATAGATTCAATTGAAGGGGTTTTAAAATTAGATGAGTATCATAACTTTCTATGACTTATTTTCTGATATAGTCGTCTATGCGTCCAAATGCCGTGATACAGCCGAGAGTGGACAGAGTTAACTATCCCTCTCAAAATGCCCTCTCATGGCCACGTGCATACAACCACTGCCAGGGTAGTCCTACTTATTGACTTCTCGTGGCGGGGGGTGTTCTTTTTACGAAGTTGAGGGGACCAAAAACGAATGTCCTGCACTTTAACAGGGTTAGTCGACACCGAGGATCTACCTAGGGGAGTTGGAAAGCCCTGATTTCACACTA